GTTAATAAAAAATCTGTTTCTCTAACCATCTTTTCGGCCATTTTTAAATTTCTCATTACCTCCAAGCAATCGGAATAATTATAATTCGACATTTTAAAGCCCGTGTCTCAGATCGTGCGTCGCGTGATAAATTGAGATAAGCCGAAACCTGATGCAGGTTTCGTGGAACCTGAAACCAAAGTGTCGATGCATCGTAACACGTTTCACGAAAAAAGTGTAGCCGAGAAATATATAAAAATCCGATTCGCTGCGTCTTACCCTAGGTGCGCCGACCACTTGTAGAGATACAGGATCGCTTTTGACTTCCCTGACGTTCCCATTGATTTTGTTCGAGGCGAGACATATGTATTGACCCTGTTGCTCGTACGTCACGTTCGTCAGGATCAATCGTTGCCCGGTACCGCATTCCAATGGCATCCGGCCATCGGTGAAGATCTGGGCCCATCTGGCGCGCCGTTGTAAAACCCATTGTCGCATTTCAGTTCGACACGTTCATCCACCGGTCTTTCGCTACTACATGACTACCGCGTGCAAGAACGTTTACCATTCTGATAGCAGGGAACCATTTTAATCACGTGATTCGGAACGTCCACTCGTAAATACGGATAACGTTCGCGATGCACGTGGAGCAACGTAAGGGAGCAACAAGTACAGGCAAACAAACGAAGATTATGACAAGCATATATTTACAGAGCTACTGAAATCAAAGTGGTAAATTATGGACACACGCTCTTTGTGCTTGGTAAATTGGCAAATTTTGTTGCTCACGAAAGCGATGATATTATATTTGTTTCTGTGAACGTAAATTTAAGAAAGAAAAAAAAAAATCGTATATACGATATAGAAGACACAAGATATTTATTTCGCAGAGATGATGAAAGTATTGCATTGTAATAAGCCTCAATATTAGAATCAAAATTGCACAGAATACATTAGAATATGAGTTTGTAATGACCTGCAATATAAATTTCTAGAATTTCGCAAAGATCAGTCAGTTATAGATCACATATAATACAATAAACTTCAATATCTAGCACCAGAACTGCAGATTAAAGCGCAAAATTTCCATCAAAGATATTAAAGTAAAAGAAACTTGGACAATGGACTACGCAAGCTTTTATTTATGTACTTTACTTAAAAAATCATTTGAAACTCTAAAAATACATTGTTTCACGTCTGTAAAATTTCACGCGAAAATTGAGTTGGTCATTTCCGGTAGTTCCGCTGGAATGGAACAATGGAATTATATTTAAGACGGTTCTTCACGCTGTATACCAATTTTTTTTACTAAATGTTTGCAACGAACATCTTGTACCTTCCATACACATTTTTAGATCGCTTTCGAATCATAATCGTAACAGTGTCGTCTTGTGTTAGAAACTGGTCGGACATTTTCGTGAGCCACCAGACAGTTTTTCATCGTGATTCATGCTACCGTGCCGCCGTGCAAACTAAAATCGAAGATGAAAGCTAACTGGCGAGAAGTCGACAGATAAAACGAAACGACTCGCGAACGAAAAATTGAGAAAAGAAAGACACGAAGATTGCGGGGGGACGAATGCGGGGGAGGGGGAGGAGGGTCACCTGTATTCAGCTGGTGGCATCGCGTCAGCGTTGCACTCGAACGACGCCCCGGAAAAGAGTAACGCCGTGGTCAGCCGATCCGGGCCCACCGAGCTGATGGTCGGCGGATCTGCGGTGAAAACCAGATCGAACATCCACCTCTCTATCGATCGCGTATCCGTCGATAATCGGAAGAAGCGTGGGAATGTTCGAGCTATCGAGGTTTCATTACCGATTCTCGGCCCGAAACTATTGGAAACAGCTGGAAAAGCTGGCAAGTATCTGCTGGCAAGTATCGGTGCGATATGTTTCGCCGTTCCGAAACTATTAAACGAGCCGCTTGCCAACGCGTTACGCGAGACGCTTCGATGGTCATCGTGGTCTCGGGGTCGATCATCTTTACCCGAGCCGCGTAATCGAGCGATAATCGACGAGTAGTGACGGGGTCGTTCGGTTATTTTTATTCACAAAGCGACTGAAAGAGCGCGCCGGGCGGTTATTTTCTGCTCGTGTGCGGGCCGAAAGACCGATCGACTATAACGAGAGGCCGCTTACAAGCTCTGTCTCTGGCGCAAAAAGGGTTAATCGCGGATTACTTTGAGAACTCGATTGGCCGCGCGTTCCGGGAAGCGAGACGCGTCGGATGGAGTGGAAACGAGGCCGACGGCACTTACAGTTGACGGACACTTGAACAGAGACCGGGCTGCTTTCACCCTCGGTGTTGGCCGCCTCGCAGATATAGACGGCCGCGTGATTCCTATAGATCGGCGAGAACAGCAACGTCTCACCGATGCTGGCCACCTCGGTGACTCCCGGGCTCTTGGTTCTCCTCCAGAGGATCGAGGCCGGTGGATTCGCGTCGGCTAGGCATCGGATCTCCAGCTGGTCGCGACCCTCTTCCAGTTGACCGGTCGGCACACCGACCAGCCTCGTCTCCGGCGCGTCTGAAACATTTTCATCTTTCGATCTCGATTACAGTTACACGACTGTATCTCGACACTTTCTCGGTCGCAAGAAAACTTTAATTACACCAGCGTTCGATTACACGTCCCGACACTCGGCAGTTTAAAGCGGAGAGAGAGAGAGAGAGAGAGAAATTAATTTTCTCCTCGGAAGGTTGGAAACAAGAAGAAAGAAAGAAAGCGGGGAAGAAAAATTGCCGATGGACGGTTGGGCCACGTAGTTCGACGAACCACGCGGCGAGAGGGGTTGGCGCGGGCTTAATTGAAATCGCGGGACGCGGGAATTGCTATCAGGGCTTTAATCATAGCGCGGCGGTGAGCTCGCGGGACGCTCGCGGAAAAATAAACACGCCGGCATGCAAAGAGAGAGAGAGAGAGAGAGAGAGAGAAAGAGAGTAAACGCACGTTGAAGTAACAAGTTTTCAGATTCAATCCTTCGTTAATGAGCGCGTAATTAAAAGTGGATCCCGGATCGTATCACCTGAAAGAAACAGCACACCCAGATCCTCCCCGACGGTCGCGGCTAACCCCCGACCGTCTGGTGGTTGGACGTGGCGGTTGGTCGACCGTTCGTTCGATCGATTTGTTCTCGCCGTTCGAACCGAACAAAGACGTTTCTCCTCCTCTTTCTCTCTCTCTCTCTCTCTCTTAGTTTTTTCCCCTCTAGGCCAGCAGGGAGAAAGAGAGGCAGAGAAAGAACCCGATAATGGAATGGAAAACAATGGCACGCGAGCGCAACACACTGACGTGAGAGCGTGTGAGCGGTAGAATGCACGCAGGCCAGCGTACAAACCTCGAAATAATGAATCAAAGTTGGGCCGGCATCCCGGCCGGTTTCGTTATTCCTTGTCAGAAATAATTAGTTAGCCGCGGCTCACGAAAAATTCAATTACACCTGCGCGCAGTTAATCCTGCAGCCGTTTTCCCTAGTGGGAGCGATAGAGAGAGAGAGAGAGAGAGAGAGAGAGA